TTAAGAATGTCTTTATTTTCTACAGCTGCAGCAGAGAAAAGGTAGGGTATTTGTAAATCCTGGAACAAAGTGTTGCAGTAGAGAAAAAGCAAGTACATTAAAGAACTGTAATTTTTCCAGGTTTAATACTATGTTTTCCTATCCCTTATAGCATTTTTTAGAATTGTGTGTGTACTATTTTTATAGCAGAGCTAAAGAGAAAAACATCAGCATAGACTAATTTACTATAAATGTCATGATTTTAGAAATTAAAATATAGGTAATTATTCCTAGGTATTCCATTTATTTATTTGCCTGACAGGTACCACATTGCATTACGGTTTGAATTGTAACAATAATTTATTATTTAGGGCTTATACTTTCCATAATGGTCACCAAACCCAAAACAGGCAGTTGGCTCTGTCAGGGTAACTTTAGACGATGAATGTCCACCCAAATAACCCTGGCACCTGACAAATTCAGTGATTATGTTGAAGAGGTATGGCTGAGTACGCATATTGTTCACAGGTTTTTAAACCCTTAATGACTCATAACAGAATATCCTTTTCTTAACAACCTGTGACGGAATAATTCGCTCATGTGGTATTTCACCATCAGAGACTGTTTCCATGCTGGTAGCAGGGGAGACACTGGGATGGATCGACACATCTCCTCTCTGTCAGCTGGGGACAGAATAAGTGAGCTGTATGAAGCCTTCAAAGTGCTGCACTCACTTCTTAAATCCCCGGCTTCAACTTGGTGTGAGCAGAGTTAAATCCCTGCTCACAGTAGAGAGACACATGAACCAAGTTTAAATCGATACCTAGAGTTTCCCTCTATGGGCTAGGGCCATATTTAGTGGCCTTTGGAAGACAAGCCACATGCAGCGCTCAAAATAAATGTGGTATTAAAGGACCACTATAGGCACCCAGACCACTTCAGCTTAATGAAGTGGTCTGGGTGCCAGGTCCCTCTAGGATTAACCCTTTAAGTTGTAAACATAGCAGTTTACATATATGTTTACATATTGGTTAATCCAGCCTCCAGTGGCTGTCTCATTGACAGCCGCTAGAGGCGCTTCCGCGCTTCTCACTGTGATTTTCACAGTGAGAAGATGCCAGTGTCCATAGGAAAGCATTGATAATGCTTTCCTATGAGATGGCTGAATGCGCGCGTGGCTCGTGCCACGCATGCGCATTCAGCCGATGACGGGATAGGAGGAAGAGAGTCCCTAGCACCGAGGGAGCCCGGCGCTGGAAAAAAGGTAAGGGTGATTATGGAAGTTGGATTATGGAAGTTCAGATGTGTTTGGGGAGCCCGGGGAGAGGGGGACTCAGAGGGTGAGGGGGTGAGGGGGACCCAAGGACCCTATAGAGCCAGGAAAACAAGTATGTTTTCCTGGCACTATAGTGGTACTTTAAGATTTTTAAATGTGGATTTAAATCCCTGAGGTGGCAATGCAGTATTAGCAGGATTAAATCACTGCTCACAATAGGGAAACAAATGTATCAATATCTTGGGCTTCCCTCTGTCATTAGTGTCAATTTAATATAATACAAAACTTTTAGAGATTCTGCCTTTTAGCTTAAAGAAGCAAGGTGAATGTATTGAGGCTAATGAGTACCATAGTCATTACTGGCACAAAGTAGTAGAGAGTGGTTTAGCTGAGGGCTTACTTTTGTATGTTTGTATTTGCTTTTGTATTACACAGCCATGTTGCAGTGCTACCACCCACCTCATGTATGCCATATTAAGGGTTAACAAGTTATAGTTGTTTAGAAAAATATCTATTTCCGTCTCATTAGAGATTTTGCATTTGAACTCTAAGGAGCAAGGTGAATTGTAGTGTAGGATTCACATAAGAGGTTTGCCTAGACGTGGCAGTTGAGCATACACTTTACTAGTCATTGGAGTGATACAAAAAACTTTCCAGTTATTTAAATGTACATAGGGATTAGGAATAGAGTGCAGGTGAGGTAACCTTTGCTACCTGAAGCTGATAAGTACTATTGTCATTGCTGTCATCCAGTATTAGGGGGAATTTGAGTGTAGGACTCAATTTTAAATGTGTGCATTCTGCACCTTTACAGACAGAGAGAGGCTGAATTCTTCCATTGGTTTCTCCATTCTGGAGGAGTTACACTATTTTCTACGGTAGAATTGTTGTTCATGAATCTTGTTTGTATTTTTTTTCGCAAACGAACTTGGTCATGAATATTATGCTT